GAAGTGTTTGAATAATGGAAGGGTTTGATAGAAGCTTTGAGCAGAATATATGTGGTTTCAGTTTTCTGAAACAGTTGTGGCAAATCACCCATTATATTAGTCAGGAAACATCATTTTTTCCTTTTTTTTCCCCCCGTGTTTCTGATGTCAGTGGGTCAGTGAGTAAGCTTCCTGACTAATCACATTCTGTGATTCATTTGTGTCTCTTGTTGACCTGCCTTCTTCCTGGTGCTGTTTAATTACATACCCATAGGGCTTAGTACCTTTGTAGAAGGTGTTCATATTCACATTCATATGTTCTGGTTTTGTGTGCCGGGAACTTTGGAACAGCACATTTTCTAGGCTTTCCCACCTCATAGCACTGAAACTCAGTTCCTTTCCCCACTACTAAACAGATCCCTCCCCTAAATATCCAAAAGATAGATGTGTTCACCTGAGGCAGGTCAGTGGTGAAGCAAAATGACATTTGGATAGAGAAAGCAGGATTATTTTTGTCCTAATTGTAGATCAAGGATAATACATTTAAGGAGAAGATTGCTGCATAGCTGTAAATGCAGTCACATGGCTGTATTTTAGGACCAGCATGGCAATATCTGATTTTGCTGGTGGTACCTGACTACAGTTGGGTTCCCTTATTCTTACCATTTGATTCCAAAGGAATGGGTTTTTTTCCTCAGTCTATCCTTATGTAGGCCATGATTTGCAAAGTCTCACTGCTTGTTAAGTTGGACAGATTCTTTTCTTTTCCCTTTTCAAAATCTGTAGAGGTTTACATTATTTACAGTTGGAAAAAAAAAAAAACCCAAACCCTAGAATGACTCCTAAGAGTATTTGGGAGATTTGAAGAAGTATAAATTATTCCAATGTCATTAGTTTATATTATAGTTCAGCAGGGAATGTATGTGACATTCGGACTGTTTTAGCCTCAAAGGGCAGCTGTGAAGATGAAGAAAATCTTGTTTTAATGCAGTGGCATGTGAAGCACTGCAGTCAAAACTGCATCTTCTTTTTGCACTGTCCAGGGCAATACACTTAGACATTTTTTCCTCCCACCCAAGTTGGTGAGATGAACATGTGCTGTCAATAGCAATGGAATGACTTTTTTTCTTTTTCCATCTTCCTCTCCCTGTACCTACAGGATTGCCATGAGAAAATTCGTGTTCTCTCTCAGCAAGCAGCAGCTGTTGTGAAACAGGAAGGGGGCGATAATGACTTCATTGCCCGTGTCCGTGCTGATCCTTACTTCAGCCCTATCCATAAACAACTCGAAAGCCTGTTGGATCCCTCCTCCTTCACTGGACGTGCTCCTCAACAGGTAAAGTAGTGGAAAGAGGCTGTGGGTTGTAATGCAATGTGTAGTTTAATCCTGCCTCCTTTTGTATATAATATGTACACTGTTTGCCACAGAGTGTACATATTATATAACTCTGGCCATACTACTAAGGCAGACACATTTTTCTCCTTTGATTTCCTTGGCTTTCTTGTCTTTCTTCCCTGTGACTTCACACTTTTGACCTGGACATACCAGACTGTTGGGTGTCTTTGTGAAAGAGAGACCCCAGTGAGACAACCAGGTCCAAATGGGGAGGAGGAGGCAAGTCCTTTTCCTCATTTTATTTTTCTCATCTTGAACAGGTGGCCAAGTTCCTGAAGGAGGAGGTCAGACCGGCGCTGATTCCATACCAAAGCAAGATGGGTGGGAAAGTTGAACTGGCACTTTAGGTATAGTCTGCAAATGTGTGTGGGTACAGGAAGATAATAAAAGCCTTATTGACCCAGGTCTATTTACTGTGTCATGTTATTTTGGTGCTCTTCAGTACATTTAGCCCCCAGAGCATACAGCCACATTGAGTCCAGATGGGCTTTTCATTCTTTGTTTGTTGTTTGATGGAGGTCTTTGACTATTGATGGAGGTCAAGCCTCTATCTATAGTGTGCTGAGTTACTGAGAAACGCTCAGCTGTGACAAGGTAACTTTATCACTGCACCTTCACTGGTCCCTCACAGAGCACTGCCAGCTGTTAAAGAGCAATGCCTGGTGCTGCCTGACATTCATGTAGGACTGACTTGTTGGAGTGCAGAGGTAAGGGGAACTGAGCCCACTCCCATTTTCATCTTTCTTTCCATGCCCCGAAACTTTCTCCACGGGTGTCTCAAAACTTGAGAAGTTTGTCCTGGCTTTCAGAGTACTGTGACTTGGGGAGCAAAGAGGCCAAAACATTAGAAATAATGAGAGAGGGAGGCCATGGAACTTCATGGCTCATCAAACTGGTGCTCCTTCAGTGCTCCTTTCCTAGTTTAATACTGTAGCTGTGGCTCTGTAGCTTCTGAAAATCGTATTTACAGGTGTTGATAAGAAGCCAGTCATTGTGTTCTGGCTGTGATTGTGTTCCTTGGCTGTAGGTGCTTGATAATGAGTGGCAAGTGGACTCTGGCATGTGAAAGTTGCTCTCTACTACAAGTTTTGTCTCATAGGGAGAGAAAAAAGATACTGGAATTCATTGAATTTCAGATAAATTTAAGAGCTTCAGTCTTATTTCTGACATGAATGATCTGTTTTGTAATGTCTGTGCTTTACTGGACATTCAGTAGTGGATCAAATTCTTTACCCTTTGACTTAATCTGGAATAATTCCCTTACCTCTTCTTCCAGTGTTATTACATCACAGAGCATTTCTTCTGCTTCAGTGCAGTAGAAAAGCTCTCTCTCTGGCCTCTTATTTATTCAGACCCTCAGAGGTGACTTGATAAGGATTACTTGATGATTTTTGAAGTGTGGTTGCTAAAGAGAATTTTAAAAAGCAGAACTAACTGAAAGAGGCTACCTGCAGTCCTTCAGGTCATCATTGTTGAAAGAGGTTTTTAAAATACTGTATGTTTTAGTAAGGCTTGTCTTTATTTAGTAGTTTAGAGCAGTGGGAAGCTTCAGGCTGTGATCTTCTTCCATCGAGACTGCTCTGGTTTTACCTTGCCCCTAGAATTCAAAATGCCTCAAATATTTGCAAGTTTGATGGTGTTTAAAACATTTTGCTTGCTTGTGCTATTAACATTTAATTAGCCATCTGTTTGAAAAGGATAACTCGAACTGAACCCTCGTCATTTTCAGGCTATTACTCAAATCGATAGCCAAGAAAGAAAACAGACAGATGCGTAAGTCCTTATTTTTTGGTCCTCTTTCCTCCTTAAAAAAAACCTACCAACCCTGTGTGGAGAGGAGGAACAGTATCTTTTCTCATCATTGGAAATAATATTTGTCAGGTAGAGGCTGCCAGCTGTGAGGTATTTGCTTTCCCGGAAATTCTAAAATGAGTAACAGTGGTACAGAGGAAAAGTCATCCTCCTAGAAAACTGGCATGATAAACAAATCCTTTAGGAGACTTCCACTCCTCGGTTTGGGAGCCGACTTTCTACTTTCCTGCAGAGTTGGCAGTGGCAACAGCCGGAGATGTAATTCTCCTCTCTACTTGGGTGTTGGGAGGAGGTCAGCAGGCAGTGCTTCAGGAGCAGCTCTCAACTTTTCAGCTTTTTATTCTCCCCCTGTACTGAGCACTGGTGAGGCCACACCTTGAGTCCTGTGTCCAATTCTGAGCCCCTCAGTTCAGAAAGGCCAGTGAGGTGCTGGAGCAAGTCCAGAGAGGGGCAGCAAAGCTGGTGAAGAGTCTGGAGCACAGATCTGATGAGGAGCAACAGCGGGAGCTGGTGTCGTTTATCCTGCAGAGAAGGATGTTTAGGGGAATTCTCACTCCCTACAACTACCTGGAAGTAGGGTGTAGCCAGGTGGGGGTCAGCCTCTTCTCCCAGACAACCAGCAACAGGTCAAGAGGCATAGCCTTAAGCTGGACCAGGGGCGATTCGGATTGGGCATTAAAAGGAATTTCACAGAAAGGGTGATTAGACAGGGTGATGGAGTCACCGTCCCTGGAGGTGTTGAAGGAAAGACTGGACGTGGCACTCAGTGCCATGGGCTGCTTGACATGGTGGCGTTCGGTCAGAGCGTGGGCTCCATGATCTCAGAGAGCTTTTCCAACCTAATGGATTCTGTGATTCCGTGGCAGCGTCGTGAGGCCCGGTCGCGCTTTGGGCCATTCGGTGCATGTCCCTGCAGCCCGTGCCCGGCGGGGCCATCCCGGCGCCTCTCCGCGCCCGCCGGGCCGCGCTTCCCTTCCCGGCCTACAGCCCCCGCCGCGCCGCGCGCCGCGCCCGCCTCCCGCGCATGCGCCCCGGCAGCGGCGTGTGGGGCCGCCGGGTCGGGGCCGGGCGCCCGCCCTGAGGGGACGGCGGCGGCGGCGGCGGCAGCAGGTGGGTGCCGAGGCAGGTGCGTGCCGGGGCGGGCGGGGACCGCCCTTCGTCCCCCGGGGCTCTCAGCCCCGCGCCGGGGGCGCTCCCCAGCAGCGGCTGCGCCACCTGTGCGGCGCCCCCCGCGCACGCCTCACCCCGGCACCCCCCTGCCCTGCTGGCCCCTCTGGCGGAGCGGGGGCCGAGGCCGCCGGGGCGGCCCCGCTGCCGGGGCCGTGTGCGGGGTGGGGGTGCGCGGCCGCGGCTCCGCTCGCCGGGCTGGGGCGGGGGAGCCGGGAGGGACCCCGGCCCGAGGAAGGCTCCGCGCACCGGCCGCGCTGACGCAGGGTCTGGCTCCGGGAGTGACTCACGCTGTGCTTCCCCGTCTGCGCTGCCCGGGGCACGTTCTCCCTGCGCCCCGCTTCCCCCGGCTGCGCTCCCCCTGCTCCCCGGGACCTGCCTCTCCTCTAACCCGCCTCTTCTCCTGCCCCCCCTGGCTGCGACTCCCGGGGGTCCTGCTCTGCCATACTCGGCTGCTCTGCACGCCTGCGCCTTTTCGGAGGTGCCCCGGAGGAGAGACTGTCTGTCTCCTGTCTGGCTGGGGGGAAGGAGCACTCACGAAACACAGATGGAAATATGGCAGTATCCTCTAGGCAATGGGCACAAATAGACGTGCTGCAGGCCCTGTGATTGTCAGCTGTAATAAATGTTAGAAGGAGAGCAGGAGGCAGATGTAATTCTTCGTACCTGCTGATGTAAATCCAAGGAAGCAAAGAGCCACAGTCACGCGGATTTAAATCTCGTTGCAGGCAGTGGCTGTGGGCTCCGGGACGGCTCTTGATGTCTCTTCACAGAACTGGTAAGGGCGGGACAGAAAAAATTTCCTATGTGTGGCTTTGCTTCCTTCCTAATTTTTTTTGAGGGATGCTGAATTTAAGCAGGTGCTTTCCTTCTAAACAAGTCAGTTTCAGTGTTGGTGTGTGGGGGTTTTATGTGATGTCACAGCTTCCTACTTCATGATGTCTCAGCCCTACTCTTCATGGCTTGCTGTGATTTTTTTATTTTTTTTTAATGGGGGTAAATGGGAATAAAGGAAGAACAGTGCCTTGAGGAAATGGAGGATCCTTTAGTGCAAATAGACGGGAAAGTGAAGCAGCCTTACTGGAATTAAGATCAATGGGTTTTTAGTAGTGCAAGACTGGATCTTAAAATCACTCAAGAAGGAACTGTCAGCCTAGCAGGAGTGGGGCGCTGCTGTGATTTTGCTGAGCTGTTGATCAGGATACAGTTGCTTGCTGGATAATCTGAATTCTAGATTAGTTTTTCAGCTGCTACGGAGTCTGGAGTGGTGGCCTGGAAAGAACCCCTGGAACAAAATTCAATTTCATTATTTATTTCTGGATCCACACAATGTGTGTGTGACTGTCCCTATGCAGAAAAGAAGGCTGAATTCCTACTCTGGAGAATTCATAAAGTAAAAGGGAAGGAAGAGGGTGAGAAGAAGCATGGCATGTAATTGAAGAGGTCAGGGTGGGGACTGGTTGTGTCTTCTTAATACAGTGTTCATTCTGTATTTAACAGATTGAAATGACAAATACTGACTATCTTAATTCCTGTTTATGATAACATTGTGATAATGTGGTTTGATATTCTTAGGGAGATGTCATTCATAGTGACTCTTCTTCTGAAGAAGGATGAAGGGAATTCCTGAGGGGCAGCAGAGAGGAGGGGCATATTTCTGGAGGAATTGCACTGATCAGGGAATGATAGAATTGAGGTGAGGAAAGTACCTGCTTGCTCAGGACTGAAATAATTCTCCAGTTTTAGGGGTCTTTGCTAATGTTGTTTAGGTTTTTCTTCTTTGCTGGGCATTTAACCTGTCACTTTCCCATAAGGTTCTAAAGAACCTTGATGATATTAAAAGACAGGCAATAATCAAAATACTTGGCTTTTAAAAATTAATGTCTTACCTAAGGTGACATGGTAGCAGTAGAGATTATTGGTTAAGAGGTCTGTGTGAGAGCTGCCAGTCTTAGTCCCATTCTTGGTGAATTGATTTGTGTGTTGCAAAATTGTTTCCCATGTTTGGTATTTGGGATGCTTTGACAAAGGAATCAGTGATACCGTGTTTGAGGCGGTAACTGTTTTGGAAATGGTTGGAATGATGCCTCTTCCTGGCTGTTAATTGCAAACTTCTCACCAACACATCAGAAGCAGCAAAAACTTTTAAAAAATAAATCCTAAGGAGTATTGCAACTTTATCTGCAGTGGTAAAGTTGAGGTGCTTTATATTTTGGTGCATGTGGTCCTACAGCTTTTCTAGCTAAATCAGCAGTGACCCTTGCTGGTGATCTGTATCACTCTGGCTATTCTAGATCCTACCCTAATTCAAAAGGATAAGATACAGAGAATTTGCAACTGTCCAGTAGGAGGAGGTAAACAAACAGCTTCATTCTGTGTTGTGGATGTGGTGTCCTAAGTGTCCCTTAAGAGATTGAGATGTTTTGGTACTTCAGGTTTGTGTCCTCAGCCACACAAAGACTTGTCTAAACTTCTTTCTCTGCCACTTTTTATCCCAGGGTCAAGGGTTTTGATGCATAAAGCTTACACAGGCTGAGTATCTTGGAGTGCTGTGGAAAATCCCACTTGTCAGCTGTGTTAGGGTTGGCACCCTGTGGGGAAGAGAAGGATGTTGTCTTGCCACATTTGTTTTGTCTTTGAGGAGCTCTCAAATTTTTTTAAACTGGAGTGTAACCAGTTACATTGGTAACAGAGCAATTTTTTCCTGACTTAAGGAAAACGCCCTGGAGAAATGCAAGCATGCTTGTGTTATGAGATAGGTGAAGAGAAGAGAGTGTTGGGAGGAACACACAAACATTTACAGAACTGGTGGGCATTACCATAATAATTGGTATTAGTATGACTACAAGAACCATTGTTACTGCCCAGTAAGTGCTGGCTGGGAAGTATTTGATAATTCAGAGAATAGAAAGAAAGTCCATAACCTGACAGTTCTTTTTTTCTCTGTAGAAGAAATCTTCCTGATTCACAGAATCGGGAAATATCAGAGGTTTTGTCTTGTTTTGTTACAAGTGTTAAGAATCCGTGTATATTTTGCTTTTTTTCCTCTTAAGTTATCTGTGCACATAAATTTCTGCAGGAGCAAGATCTAAGTAGTCCAACATGACATGCTAGATAAGAGCTTTGCAAACAGTCCTGAGAGGTGTTTGAGTGTTACTAACCTCTTCAGAAAGTTGACTCCTGTAAAGACAAAGCCCTGAAGGAAAAGTTTTGAATGCTGTGGGATATACTTGCCTTAAAAACCATTTTCTGAAGCCAAATGAAACAAGACCTGCTTAGAGTCCTGTGAAGTGAATCCGACTTTTTTTGCGAATACTGGAGCTGCAGGAGAGTGACCTGAAACAAGCCTTTCCTGTCCCTCACCAAGGTGACAGCAAACCATGACAGCAAAACCTCTGCCAATCCTCTGAGGCTCTATCAAGGAAGAGCCATTGTTCAGGCCCTTGTTCCATTGTCACTGGGAGCAGTAGGATGAGACCAGCTTGAGAATCAAACTTCCACCTGGGTGAGCCTACAGGGCTGGTGATGGTGCTTGTCACCACTCAGGACAGGGGTGTGATATAAAAGACTTTGTAATACCTGACTTTAAGTAACTGTCAGTAGTGTCTTTTAACCTCTCTTTGGTTGGTACAGCCCTACATCTCTACCAGGAATATTTTCTTTCACGTTTCTGTATTCAAACTGGACAGTTGTCATTGATTGCTTTCCACAGATGTCTCATGGCTTACAGTCTTGCAATGGACCAGAAGGTAAACAACACTTCTGAAAATTTTTTGGGAAAACAAATTTCTGTAGAGCTCTGCAGAAGTGCCTTGGTCCTTGGTACTGTGCTTATTTGGGTGAAAATTCCCATGTATTGTGCAGTACTGAACCCTCATAGAAGATGTGTTTAGACACTAATGAGAAACCTTTGGTTTATATTTGCATAATGGTGTTTAACAAGGAATTGCCTTTACCCTAAGCCTTGAAGACTGGGGTGACTGCAGGCCTGCCTTTTTGGCACATACAGGTTTTCTTGCCTCTGTGTTGAAAGCAAGCAGAATTTTGCTGTGCAGTGAGAGTTAACACCATGCGAGTTTGTATCCTGGCCTCTCTTTCTAACTTCATTTGATGCAGATAGAAAACCCCAAAAACAGTTGTTTCTGTACTTGACTGTAATCCTCCTGTGTGAGTTGCAAGGAGCACTCTCTATTCCTGTCACACATCTTTCCACCACTCAAATAGTGGGAGTACTGGGAAAGGGGAAACTCCTCCTCTTCCTCTGATCCCAAGGGTCTTGGCTAACAAAAGGTTCTCCACAGAAGTGCAGTTCATGTTTAGCTGGCATGCTTTTTGCCTTGGAGCCAGGTAAATAAAAGGCAGTTCTGCTCTGGAAATAAAATATCTGTTGATGTGTAGGATATCTGCATTCTCCATAAGCAGGTGTTATATAGGGGTGTTTCTGAGACAAGGCTGACGCATTGAACTGTGGTCAGGAAGTCCTTCTGTGATCTGTCTGTCCAATGCGTAAGTGGTAGGAAGCAGGATTCCACTTTTTCACATCCTTATTTTCAAAATGGAGATGCAGTGGGAACAAAACTGCAAGTAACTTGTTTTGTTCCTTTTGTGTAAACTGATAGTTTATGTAGCTCAGCAGCTTCAGCTCCACCGGAGCTCTCTCTGTTATTGCAGCAGGCGTTGCTGGACGCCGAGCAGTGCAAGGAGCAGAACTGTTACATAGTAGTATCTTTTAGTTACATTTCTGCACAGAATTAGATTTCTAATGAGGGCAGGAATCTACAAGGTGCTTTATGGCAGGAGACACAGAGTTCCAGTTTACCTTTTGCTGTCTCTGTTGCTCTTCTAGTGCCCTGAGGCAGCTGGGAGGAAACGCTTTGCCCTGCCACATTCCTGCTGTCAGTATGTGATCCCAGTTGATGACTGGGCAGCACTGGAGTCCTGGGTGGTGCCTCTGCAGTCAGTGGTATAACCTGTCAGCAGCTCCCCTGCCTGCCTGGCTCTGCAGGCCTCGCCCTTGCTGCTCTCCAGGTCTCTCATCCCCCCCTTTGAGACCTGCCCTAAGCTTCTGGTGCATCTCTGCTTCACTTCCAGTACTACAAGGAGTGGGGTGAGGGCAGTTAAAAGTTCCCAGATCTTCATTCCCAGTTGTGTTGTAGAGAGGAAGCCTGAAGGCCACCTCAGCACTTCCAGCCTGCATTTGTACATGTTCCTCAACACCCAAAACAGTGTGAGGCTGGTCTGGTTTTAAGCCTCAGACAGGAAGTTTGGGGTGAGCCAGGTTCACTAACACCATATTGACTCCTTAACCAGTGCCTGTGTCTGGGTCTGTGTGGGATTCTGCATATTTTACAAAGCCAGGCTGTCAGGGTGTGAGGGACAGGAGCTCTCTGCATCTTGTCTGCCCCCCTTGGTCGGGTGTGTGGCTGCTCTTTGCTCATTTGTGTATTTGTTTGTGAGGCTGGAGTTCTCTTCTGACTCTGTGTGCAAAGCAAATATTGACTTGTGGACTAATGGCATTTGCAGCTCCAGGATATGCCTTTGCTTGACTTGAGGGAGACGCTGATGGGGGAAGGGAAGGAAGGCCAAGGGCGTCCTCCTGAGAGTTCCCTTGGACATTTCATTGAGCAAATCAGTATTATAATTTGGAAAATGTAAGTGTTCTGGTTGCGAGAAGACAAAATTGAACTGCCTGGTTCAGTACAGAGCTTTTGTCTGATTTCTGAGAGAGGGAGATGTTAAATTGGATACAATCTACTTGGGATTTCAAAAGCTGAGCTGGAAGAGGCTTCTAGAACTACACCTACGTGCATAGCCTCCTGATGGGTGCTGTGACTTTCAATTACTCCTCTCTCTTCCAAAACTTTCTTTCTTAATAAAGGAAGAGAGTAGAGAGCAGTGGAAACCAGCTGACAATCCAGAGGTGGCAGTGGGATTTACTGCATACACTGTTGCTTTCTGTTCATTAAACATAAAGAAAAACAGAGTTTTTCCCAAACTAGCTTATTGTCAGAAGAGGTGTTGTAACTGTCAGAACAGAGGTGCAGTTCTTGTAACAGTGAATGAAAATTATTCTAGGAAAAAATTGTTATGTTTGTTCTGTTCCTTCTGATGATACTCAGAGGAGGTTCCTGCATAGTTACTGGTTGTAAAGTTTTCAGGATACAAAAGCATTGCTTGGTAAAATGTTTGCCTTCTGCACAGTCTGCTGGAGGTATGCTGCCTTTTTGGTGGATTTTTCTTTTTAATCAGTGGGGGAAGAACACTCTTGGGAAGGAGTTCCTGTCCCAAAATAAAGGTCCTACTGAAAGGCTCCAGACAGTGTCATTTTGTTCTTAGCACATCCAGGCCCTACCACCACAAGCTTAGGTGGAGATCACCTAAGCAAAAGAGGCCAAGCAGGTAAAACATAGGCAGCAGGAGATTGCTGTCTGGTGTTTACCAGGAGCCAGCTAATTGAAATCTCTCATACTACAGCTGTGGGGAAGAGCCAGTGTGTCATGGGGAGGCACACTGTTTCCAAGTGGAAGTAAATTTGCAGGACTCCTTTGCAAACATCAATTTCTAAAGGACACCTGCACTAGAAATTAAACTAATTGGACATAATCCTGCATGGTGTGTGTTTGCAACTCCAACAAAGGTGTTGCAGGTGGAGTTCTTCAAATGGCTGTACCTGATGCTGACTGCATGCTTCCACTGTAGCCTTCTTTTTCAGGTACATCACACCTGTGTTCCTGCAGGCTGGAAACAATGGTGGTGTGATTTGTTTTGGACTTTGAATTCAAAAAGTAAATCTGTGATTAACAGGTGCTATTTGCATTTCAGCAAAAAATACATTTCTTTCAAAATATGAAGACTACCTATTGTGTGACCACAATTGCTTCATATAAGAAACTTAAATTGCCTTTAAACATGGGAGAATGCTCCTTAATGTGTGGGTTAAACTGGTTTTAATTTTGTAGTACTGAGAGTTTGGGAGTTGCCATTAATATTTGTTGGATCTGATGTATTTTTTCCTTTGTATTTCTTACTGTTGCTTTATTTCAGAAGTGTGCACATTGCAAATAACAGCAACTTCACACATGTGGTTTCACAAGCTTTGTGGAGCTTCTTTTGTTACTTGCTATCTCCTGGCTAGAGAGTTGCTTTAGGTTTATATCCCTCAGTCAAAGGAAAGACCTTACTATGTCAATCCCATGTGTCAGATCTCCTCCTCCTCCTCCTCCTGGCTCACACTAGGTGGTGCCTGGCTGTGTCAGGGAACCTTCTTCCCCGTTCCTCTGATGCTGGAAGGGCTGGTTCAGTGGCCTCAGCACCTTCTCTCAGAGACACCTGGCTCTGAGGGCAGTGCCCAGGGCAGTGTCTCTGTGTGCCACAGCAGGAGCCTTCCCTTGGTGTGATTCCTGCTGCTCACCCTCCCCTTCTGCACAGCCGTGTCAGCAGCAAGGTGAGCCTCACACTCTCTCTGGCCTCTGTCCCAGATGGGTGCTTGCAGGAAGGTTTCTATGGGAACCAGGGGCAGGAAAAACCTGCCTACCATGTTCAGTGCTCTAATGTCAGGGATAGGAGAGCAGGCAGGGGAGGGGTCCCCAGCAAGGTAGAGGCCAGGGCGTGATGACATGGACAAGGGAGGGCGTTCCATCTGCTACACCTGTACTGGGACAAGGAGAGACTCACTGAGCACTCTCTGCCCTGTTTGCAAGCACTGTGGTTAATTCCCTTATTAGGGGCTTTTTTCTCAGCCACGTGCCTGACACCCTGGCCTGGCTGCTCCACAGCAGGTTGTGTCAGCAGTGTTGTACATGCAATGAAGGTTAACAGTGGCTGAGGGGAAGCTCTACTCACAAGCTCAAGGCACTCAGGGTGGATTCAGAGCACAGGCAATGACAAGCATGGCACACATACCATGTGGTGACTGCATTCCTAATAAAGGCCATTGGAAACAGGGTTAACTGGGCTGAGAGAAGGCAGGGGAAGAGGACACCTTGCAGGCTCAGGAACAGAGCAGCCATGGTTGCAAGGCAGTGAAAAAAACATCAAAATCCATTCACAGCAATGTTGAAGTAAGTAATGTCAGCCAATCTACCTGCTTGGGGTGCATGCTCTGTGTGTTCCCATGTAATATGAGCATGCAGATGCTCATTTTGTAATTTTTGCTATGTCTTCAACTACTAAGAGAAGAGTTGGTGCTAAGGGAACAAATGGACTGGAGTGTAGGGAAGAACCCACAAACATTTACAGAACTGGTGGACATGCAACTGACCATCCTGTGGACAAAACTACTTCTCAGAAACAAAAGCTGAATTTTATTTTTTATTGTTTGTTTGCAATTCTTTTTGCCATAAGCTTTAGTGTCAGAATGGACCAGAGTGTCTGCTCATCCTTTCTGGCCTTTCTCAGGCAGAGAGCTGTTTAAATCCATAAGGAGGAAACCTTATCATTTGTGTTCCCAGACAGAGATGTTTTCTATGCTTTTGCAGTGGTGTGCATCTGCTTATCTTGGAGTGCTGTAGCAAGTCACTTCCTGGCTGCAGGTGCTCACTGGAAAGTTCACTGAGATGCAGAGGCCATATAACCTTGTAGTAATATGGCCTGTGAAACAACTTGGATAGGGCCTGTGGGATGAATCCCTGGGTTCCTCCTTTTAGCAGCTTACAGTCATAAGTAGCTTTAATGAAAAGGGAAGTTGGAAAAGCCATCCTAGGTGTGCAAATGTTAGTTTGTCCCAGGTTCTTTCCCAAGGAAGTGTGACTGATCTATCCCAGCACTGGCTTTATCTGCTTGGTAGAGGTGGCTCTTGCTGTCTCCCACACACAAATTGTAAGGTTGATCTTAAAGTCCAGAATCTCTCTGATTATGGAAGTATTCCATTGTTTTCCTGGAAATCCCCATTGAAATCCCTATAAAAATATGCTGTTAACTAGTGTCAGGAAAGCAAGGAGGGGAACTCTATTGCCTGATTTAGTTCAGAGGAGCCTGGTTTGTGACTCATTGCAGAGGTACTTGATAGTGTCTTGTCTACATCCACATGCTTCAGGGACTTGTATTCTGCAGCCCTACACACTTTACTCCTGTGCTTTGTGGTGCTACTCCTAGTCTCTTTTGGACTTAGAGCATCTAATGATTACCCTTTAAACCCTTTTCACCACTCCTGTCCCTTCTCCATGGTCAGTGTCTTCAGAGAATGATGATGTGTGGGCTCTTTTCTTAGTTTACATCATTAAATAAAGGAGTCCCAATATGCAATGGAAAAGTTGTTAAAAGTTGACTTGTTTTTTGACATTCTTTCAACCAGCATTGACATTCTTTCAACCAATGCTTTTTTGACATTCTTTCAACCAATGCTGTTATTTCCACAAGAAATTTGGCAAATGACAGTGTGCTCTTTCTAGCTGGTCAGTAGGTATGAAACCAAAAGGAAATTCCAGTCTCTGGAATTTATTTCTTGTATACTAAGGAATTTAATTTTCACATGAGGAAGTTGTATGTGATGGGTCTGTCAGTCCTCCACCATGTTCTTGGATGTTAATTGAATTCTCTCATCACCCTTTTTTTCTTTTTATAACAGGAGTGTAGCATCTCACCTCTGTGGACAGCATTTCTGGACCTGCCGACACCTGTGGCACTCAGCCTTGACTAGTGCAATGTCAGGTGAGCACACAGAAATTGACACAGTATCTTCTCATTTCCTTCCTTGCTCTGTCTTCAGCTGAAACTTCATAACAAAGGTTTCTGGTTCCAAGATCCATTCTTTACATGAACATACTTTCTGGTCAGATTGAGAGAGAGGAAACTTTGTGACCCAGGAGCATTTTTCACTCAGGGTGAACTCAGTTTCTTCTTTTACAATGTAGAAGCTTTTTCAGACATTGTACAGAGAGGAAGAAGGAAGTTGAAATGTGTTCTGCCTTCCCCATTTTTCCTTAAGATTTGCTTGATTCTGTTCTCCCCCCAGCACTTCCCCCAAGTGAGTGGCTCACAATGACTGTGAGAGATTTTTGCTGTACAATGGTAGCTCTAGGACAGGTAGAATGCTGAAGAATAACTGGAGTTCAGGTGTGGACTTCTGAGATAGAAGCTTTCCTAAAACTAGGCGGTCTTCTTAGAGAAGCCAACTTTCCCACCCTGTACTTTTTTCTAGACCTTCCTGGTCAAGCTGGTTATTTCAGGGCACATAACCCTGGGGGAGACTGTGCTTCAAGGCCAGGTAAACCTTTGTCTTGCTGAGAGAACAATAGAAGACTTTCTGTTGTTTATCTGCTTCAATTGCGAGACTTGATGGCTGCTTGTATTCCAAGGGAAGCTGTTCACTGGGACTCTACCTGAGACTGGAAGGGTGCTTGTCTTGAACACAAAATACCAAGGTTATAGGCATACTTTGATTGCTGCATCTCTCTATACATGATCTGACAATATCCCAGCCCCTTGAGAAAAAAAGAGAGCAGTTGAGCATCTTTCTGAGGGCTCTGATTTTTCATTCTGGTGCCTGAGTGACAGTTTCAGGGAACTCTGGAGTTCTGCTGGTACTGGTCCATAGGAGGAATTTACTTCTGCAAAATAATATTAATTTGGTGATAATACCCCTGGCTTGTTGCTAATCACACAGCTTTTCCAAGCAGGTGAGTGATCATGTGATGCCATGGAACTATTTCTCTTCCCTAAGAATTGCTTTCTTAGAGATAACTCCATTTGGCCCTTTTACCTCTTTTGCTCAATAAAAAAGAACAAAACATCTGAAATTACTGGCTTCCCTGGTGAAGTGGGAGCTGTCTCAATGTTTAGAGTAGCAGTAGCAACAAACTGATGAGTGAGTCCTTCCCATGCTGGAACAGTCTGTAAGGAATGTGTATCTTCCAAGAATGTTCTTCCAGATTTTCACTGCTATGTGTTGATCTCTTTCTGTTTAGGCCATCACACTCCCTCTGCTGGGGGTCCCTTCTCAGCACTCACACCCAGCATTTGGCCTCAGGAGATCCTGGCAAAATACACACAGGTACAGTGTGGGACAGGGTGAGGACGTTCTCTGGCTCTGCAAAAGTAGAGCGAACCTGGTGGCTTCTGGTGGTTTCTGAAAACCACAGGGAAAAGGAGAGAGAGGTGCACTTTTCCTCCAATGCTTTGGTTATGGACTTCACATGTTTTGTGGTTGCATCCTTTTGCAAGAGGATCTTGCAGAGCACAAAGAAACTTCTGTGAATTATTTCCCTGCTGTTTTGCAACTATTGCTCCACTGTAAAAATGTTGACACCCTCAGGGAGCCACTGTCATCATCAAGCTACTCTGGATGGCTTGTGCATGGCAGGAAATACTTGTTACCAGGTGGGTAGAGCAGGAAGGAAGGAAGCAGCTGTGGAATTTTGTAATTTAGCCACAGTGTTTGCTGATAGCAGATTAAAGCTTTTTGTTGGAGGTATTTTGGCAGTGCTTCTTGTTTCTGAGGTGCTGCCTGGTTGCAGTGCGTGCAAGAATCCCCACAGGAGGTGCAGGTGGGCTTGCAGGAGAGGGGAGAGAGCAGTAGGTGTTTACTCCTAAAAAAATCCTGGAGGTAATCTCCAGTGTGTATCCCCCAGTACACCCCAATGCCAACCATGAGCACAGATGAGGAAGGTTGAGATTTGGGTCATGGACCTTAACTTTCTTTGGCCTATAATTTGGACTTGCATCACAGGTGCAAATCCCAGTTTTTCCTGCTGCCTTTCAAAAGAAATTTGAGAGCAACAGGCAGAAGATGGAGTGGTGCAGGGAGCTGAGTTTGCAGTGTGTGTGCAGAGGTAACAGGAAGGACAGCTGTGTATTAGTGATGCAGGCAGTAGAGGCCACTTTAGCTGGTGTGCGTATATTCCTCAGTCCGTGAGGAGGGCTGTGCTCACCTCCAGGTGAGCAGTTCTGATCTTGATAAGATGCTGAGCTCAAGTCCTGCTGGGAAAATCTGTATAGTTTTTTTCCATGGAAAAGTCAAAATGGGAATGGCAGGCAACGTCTCCTCAGCTGGGAATTGTGGTGGGAGGCTTTAAAAATTAAGAGGCAAGGGGTCTAGTTGCTCAAAGGACACAGAGTGGGCAGTGGTGGGATGAGGCAATATCTATGTGTCTCTGGTTATTCAGTGATAAACTGCTGAAAATGTCTGTTTTCCTTCCTCACATCTCCCAGAAAGAAGAATCCGTCGAGCAGCCGGAGTTCCGTTATGATGAATTCGGTTTCCGAGTTGACAAGGAAGGTAAAACCAGTCCCGTCCCTCCCACTTGCATTGTGTTCAGCCCTTCCATGCTTTCAAGTGTGGCAGGATTTTACATCCATTCTGTGCTAAGTCTTGTCTACCCACCTGTTTCTGTATCCTGCTATTTGTAATCAAGTTCAGAGCATAGACCGTGCAGCAATCATTTCCATCACCTTATGCTGTGCCATGGGGAAGAGGGAGAAAATTTGAGGAGTTACCATTTCCATTAGCAGCTGCATGTTGGAGAAGGGCAACTTTCCCAGTTCACAGTGGGATCTCCATTGTGTTCAGTAGCACTGTAAGGGGTCATAGCAGGCACAGTGAAATGTGCTGTCTGCTGAAAAACTCATAGCCAAGGAAAGAGGTGGTATGTTCTGCCCACCTCAGCATCTCAAGCAATGTGTAGGGCAAATTGTAGGGGAAAAACCTACATCCTAGTTTTTCTGCAAGCTACGGAGGCAGACAACCACATAGAAGGAGGCATGGAGTGCTGTTGAAACTGAGCATTAAACTACAAGAGCTGGCTGCCTTAGCAAAGAGGAAGAGAAAGAAGTAGGAGATGTAGGAATTGTTTCATGTGCTCTGGGGGTCATTCCTAGGGCTCAGGCTATATAGTGTAAGGGCAGAAGTTGTTTGCATGTGTGCCCTGAGGCACCTTGAGTCATGGAGGATCCTCTTTGAAGCAATGACCTGAAGATGAGAACAGAACACAGTGATTTTTTTTCAGCCAGAACATCTGTGCATTATAAAATCAGCAGAAAGATTTGGAGTGCATTGCTGGGATGTATTATATGATGAAGGACAGAGTGCCTTATGTCAAACCTGTCCTTGTGCTAAAGTATCTATTTTAGGAAGCCAGCCTCAGGTTAAGGTGCTCTCTCATTGTGAATTTGGAAGTGTCCTTATTAAAGCATTTTTGGTGATTAAATATCCCCAAAGTTAACATTTTGCACCTCATTACTTCCATGAGCATATAGCTTCTGCTTTCCAGCTCTGAGGCTTGCTATGCTTTTGTCAGCCTGATTTACAGATCCTTACAAAACCCAGCAGGATGACTGCTGCCAGGATCTTGTTTAATTCCAGCCACACTGTGGTCTAAATCATGAGTAAGTAGAGACTAGAAGCCTGCCGGCAGCTTCTTTAGTTCTCAAGGTCCCAAGCCTTCTGCTTATGACCATAAAATTTGCTGCATGGAGTGGGCAGTTAGAAACCAACCTTTGCCTTTCCATGCTCTGACTGGAAGATATGAATGTTTTGAATGTGCTTTTTTCAGATGGCCATCCTATTCCCCACCCTGCCGTGTGTTCATTTCCTCTCCTGTTCCCTCTCTCACTTGTTTCCATTTCTTTCTCTTCCCTTTGCTGAAGCAGATGGTGCTGAGCCAAACTCCAGCAAGCTTCTGGGGGTCCCACTGACAGAGGAGCCACAGCAGAGGCTTAAGTGGCAGGCTCATCTGGAATTCACACACAACCATGATGTGGGTGACCTCACCTGGGACAAAATTGAGGTCACCCTGCCACATTCAGACAAGCTGCGCTCCCTGGTGCTCGCCGGCATCCCACATAGCATGAGGCCACAGGTGAGAGTGCTGCCTGTTCTGGGCAGGCACTCCTGCCTGGAGTGAGAGATCACGGAATGGGATCTCTTGAGATGGCACTTGAGAGGGTGCCAGATTATGGCTTTCTGTGGCTGAGTGACTTCTGTCTCTGTTCACCCTGTCCCCCCAGCTGTGGATGCGCCTTTCAGGGGCTTTGCAGAAGAAGAGGAACTCAGAGATGTCGTATCGAGATATCGTGAAAAACAGCTCTAACGATGAAACCATTGCTGCCAAACAGGTAGGAGATCCTTCAAGTGCTCAGTGGGACGAAGGGCAGGATTTGCTGTGTGAGGAGGATGGGGTGCCTGCCTGACACCTGCAGCAGGGGCAGTTGAGAGGATGTGTGGTTAAATCCTGCTAAAGCTTAATCCTGTGGGGCATATTTCTCCTCTGTTTTGAGGAAAAACAATTATTTCCTCTGCTCTTTCAGAGGACAGCAGGAAAAGGTTTAGAAAATGTGGCAGCAGCTCTCTGGCCACATACAGCAACAGACAACTTTCCCAGGCCTTTCTGGGAAAAGGCTGTGAGAAGATCAGAGAAAAGAATGAGAAACAATTCTTATCTTAACTTGCTGCACGTGTTGTTGTGAACATATGGAATGTGTTATGGAGATTGGTTTACCAAAGGGTGGTTTCCTAATTAGGCAATGGGGATGATGTTTTAATTAAATGACCAGTCAAGTACACGTGTATCGTAACTGTCTATAAAAGCAATGGATTTCTTAATAAAGATAGATTGATCAGCCCTCTGTGAATCATGGAGTCAATGCTAATAATTACCTAGCAGGGGCCCATTGCTATGATATCTGGTGACTGCTGACTTGTACTGCAGCCTAGGCTGAAGGCACAGGAGCTCCCTGCCATGATAAGAAAAATGCTGCAATTGCATCTCAGCAAACATCCTCATAGTCACTGAGGGAAGGGAAGGATGAAAGGTTGACAGATGCAACTCTGTTGTGGCAGCCGCTTTCAGGGCCTGTCTTTGTTCCCTCAAACACAAAGTTTCTGAACATCTATTAAAGACTGTTAAAGGGTGTTTTCCCTCTTCCTTTGACCTCATGGATTTGGCCAGGTTGTTGGTTTTTCTCTGGAATACATTCTTTGGGAAGCTGTGCTTGAAATCCAAGCAGATGTCATTCCCAACTAGTGTATGTTTCCTATTGTCAGTGGTGAAACTAGAGTCTGAGTTTAGGCAAGTATTTCTAGGGATTTGACAAGCCACTGTCTGCACTGGCATTTTCCTACATGTCAGTGAAGGCTGTTAAACTGACCCCAGATGCTTGGACAGGGACATCTTCTTTGGTGCCTGAGGACTTACGGGTGTGTGTGGGGAGGCAGAGTTCCCTGAGGCAGGGGGCAGGGGGAAGTGCAGAGAGCTGAAGGCAGTTTTTCAGATGCTGCAAATTGATTCTGTCCTTGTTTATGGCTGCCTGACAGATTGAAAAGGACTTGCTACGCACAATGCCCAGCAACGCCTGCTTCTCCAACATGAACAGCATCGGGGTGCCACGGCTGCGCAGGATACTACGAGGACTTGCCTGGCTCTACCCAGACATTGGATATTGTCAGGGCACTGGCATGGTAACCTGCTTTCAGAGTGTCTTTGTGATAGGAATCAGTTTGTCTCTGGCTGCTACACCAGAGTGTGAATGATTTGAGGTAGTGCTGCCAGATACTGTGGTCTCCAGGTGAGCTGAAGAGAAGCCCCTTCCACCTGGAAGACTTTTCCTAAGGAAGGGAGAGCAGAATAGCACCATACACCCAAAGATACAGAAGACTTTGATCCATCTGTTGGGGAGGGGGCAGTCATTATACTGAGGAGAAATCCCTTCACTGGAGACTGCAGTAGAGCTCCTGCAGAAGGAAGATTTTTGTCACCTAAATACTGATCCATCTCTCCATCTGAGAAAGTGGGGAAAGAGTTCTACTCTTAGAACATGCAGTTTTTTTCTACTCTCTACTGTAAGAGTTCCCTCTTAGAACATGCAGTTTTTCTTCCTTCAAAATCCTAGGTGGCTGCCTCTCTGCTGCTCTTCTTGGAGGAGGAAGATGCCTTCTGGATGATGTGTGCTATCATTGAGGAATTGGTTCCTGCCTCCTACTTCAGCACCACCCTCATGGGTGTGCAGACAGACCAACGTGTCCTGCGGCAGCTAATCGTGCAGTACCTGCCCCGCCTGGACAAGCTGCTACAGGAGCACGACATTGGTAAAAGTGTGCCCTAGAAATTTCTTGCCAGGGTGACATGCAGACAAAGAGCATTGTTCTTTTTTTACAAAGGGGAGCATCAGGGAGAGGAGCAAACCTCCTGACCCTGGAGGCAATGCATGGAGGAAAGCCCTTAGGAGAGTCCACCTTCACTGGCAGACTGACTTCCTCTGTTGTGATTATTTTCCATGTCTCTGTTCACAGAGCTCTCCCTGATCACCTTGCACTGGTTCCTCACCTCTTTTGCTAGTGTTGTCCACATCAAGCTGCTGCTGCGTATTTGGGACCTCTTCTTCTACGAGGGCTCTCTGGTGCTGTTCCAAGTCACTTTGGGCATGCTAAGTATGAAGGTAATTCCCAACTTCCTCCTTTATTGTACTTCAGTGTTTAATTCTGAGATTTAGGGACAAGAAGGTTTTGTATCCTCTTTCTGTATGTGGTTTGGAAGTGTGTTAGGGAAGACGATGTGCGCTGCCTTCAGAACTGGAGGCTGTGAAAAACTTCTAAGGCACTTCACAGAAATTAGAGATTGCTGTTTCCTGTGCATACCTCATTTGTTTCCACATAATTAAACCTTGCAGCTGCCACCCTCTAATCAGTCTAGATCCCAACCTGAGGGTCCATCTTATCTAAACCAAAACTGAGATACCTCTTGATTTTGCACAATCTGGGAGGAAAGAGAAAGCCAAAGTTGTGATCATCTGGGAAGTTTTGGATGGTATTGCTTGAATGCTCTAAGAGATGACTGTGTTTGATTTGGCTGGCCTGATCTTTTCCTTTTCTATGTGAAAAACAATTTTGTATCCAGTTTGCTGTGTGAAGGGCAAGGTCGATCCTGACAGGAGTAAGGGTGAGGTGGAACACAATTTGACATAGTGCTCTAGCGTACACCTCCCATTCTCTTATTCCTAGCAAGATCCCTGCTGTGACTAGTCCCAGTGGTTGGTGCAGAACAGGTTTGAGTTTGGTTTTCTGTGCCGATTTGATTTCATTTCAATGGTGAATGCTGTGATTCAAAAAAATGCCAGCTAGAATTCTTGGAGGAGAGTTCAGTAGAGCAGTAGAAGATGCTGTTCCCTTCTCAAAAGTAACTAGGACTTTTTCTGTTGAAGGTTTTTATATGGAATTTTCTAGTTTTACCTGCCCAGTCTGTACTGGGAATGTAAAACTGCATCTAGAAGCCTCAGGAGCACAGTTGTCATGCTCACCCCTCCATGAAGTAAAAATGTCTGTGTTGTTGCAGGAGGATGAGCTGATCCAGTCCGAGAACTCTGCCTCGATCTTCAACACGCTGTCAGACATCCCGAGCCAGATCGAAGATGCGGATGTGCTGCTGCGAGAGGCCATGCGCGTGGCTGGCTCGCTGACCGATGTGGCCGTGGAGACGCAGCGCCGCAAACACCTGGCCTACCTCATTGCTGAGCAGGGGCAGCTGCTCAACTCCAGCACCACTGTCAACAACCTGTCCAAAGTGGGTGCACAGGGTCCCTTTTTACCATGCCTTACAGATTCCCACCCAATTACCATTTGGGACCAGGAGGTCCTCCTGTTTGAGAGGATTTTTGGTTCCAGGATAATTGTTAGCCAGTGAAGAAAATGTATTGGGAAGTCCTATACCAATTACATGCTGCCAATTCCATCCTGGTTGATAAATCCCCAGATGAAAGGGATATTAGCCCTGATTGTAATTATCATTCATGAGAGTGATGATGAAATGTGATGCATTTCATTAATAGAAACTAAAAGAAACAACATATGCTTTTGGCAGTATTTGCTTGAAGCACACAGAGTAGGAACTGAATTTAATCCATTAGTAAGAAACTGGTACACTAAAATAACCTTGGAAGGTAGAGTCAAAAAACAGCAGCAGGTGCTTTTGAGGGGCCAAATTAAAAATGCAGCAGTGTTTAATCTTAGACTAAAATCTACAGTTGCAGACAACACACTCAGGCAATTCTAAAATGTAATACCCATCCACTTAGAAATTTATATGCAGTCATGTGTGGAACTGCTTTTTGCAACAAATAGAATTAGAGTTAAAATTATTTACATGGATCATGGTTGATTCTTGAACTTCAATTATGCTTTCGTAATAATTAAAGTATACATAACCTATTGAACATGGAGCAGATGGAGAAGTAAAGCTGATTCAATGCGTTAGGACTAGAGCGGCTCCTGTCGAAAACTGCCAGTTCACTGGCCTGCCCCTTATAGTGGTAGCTGTCAGGACCGCTTGCCCAGAGCTGACTGGTGTGGAGGGTTGCTTTATTTTATTTCTGAAATCTGTCTTAATGTGTGCACTTTGTTCTCTGTTGCCTCTCCCACAGATTGTGAGACGCAGGACTCAGCGCAGGAAATCCGGCATCACCTCTCTGCTTTTTGGTAAGGACAATCCTGTGCCTTTCGTGTGTGGTCAGTGGCTAGAGCAGCTTAGGAAGGAGGGGAGCAGGCAAAGCAGGGAAACATTGGGACAGAGGGATTGGAGAGAAGGGAGTCAGAACTGAAGGATGAGAGGGAAGAAGTGTAGTTTACTACTTGATTTCTTTGATCTTACTGCTGGCTGGGGGTCTATGTACAAATCACGAACAGGACGGGACTGCTGTGTAACGTGCTTTGAGCTGTTTTATTTTTCAGCATCAGTCTCATTACATGATTATGACAATGGGAAGATGCCATCAGCTCACATCGCAGGCAGCAGACCAAGAACTTAATGTTACAACTTACTTTATAAGTTTTTTGACCAATGACACAAAGCAAAAGCATATTGATAGTAGTTCTAACTACTATAAGCACATGTACCCTTGGTTAAAACAATGCCTGCTTATTTCAAATACAATACCTGCTTGTAAGCCTTAAAACACAATGCACAGAGCTCCATTGTTAAGCTTAAAACTTCCTAATATCTTGCTAGATAAACTACAGAAAAGTAGCTTAAGGAGTTATTCTAGACAAGCATTAATACACAGACCATTGTTCTATTTGTCCTTACTTTTCTACATTTTACATAATTTTTCTGCTGACCTATCTCAAGGCTACTGCTTAGCTCCAATCACAGTTCTGCTGTCTCTGAGGCCTGCCTTTTGCAGCTTTCCCAAAACCCTCTGATTTTATGGATTCCCACAGATCTGAGCTCAGAAAGTAAATTTTAGGTTAGACAATCCATGAATAGTGGACCACGGGAGGTGCATCTCAGCCCAGCTGTAATGTCCTTATTGCACTCACCAACAGGTCAAACACATTTTCTGGCAGACCTTATGCAGTCCACAGGCTGGATGTGGTACTCTCTGATCTTACTCTGCTCAGTTCAGGAAGATGTGAGACAGGGCAGGATGTCTAGTGTGTCACCCATCAAAATTATAAATGAAAGGATCATTATGTTTTCCTTACTTATTCTGAGAGTTTGATGTTGTTACTTCAACAGCAAGGGGAAGTCTTGCTTTTGACTCTTAATTTTCTACACTTATGAGCTGAGCCAACATATGTCCAGAAAGGACACAGTCAGAATAGCTTTTGCAGGGGTTTAAGAGTAACTTATTTCTTGACTCCATAAGAGCCCTTTCTGCTGTAAGCCTCAGTGTCATCACCTTACTTGAAATTGGCTAGCCTTCTTGAAATTGCCACATGTCACCACAGGAATTGTTTTTCCGGAAGAAGACAACATACTGAATTTGCAGGGCTTAAAACAGTGTTCCTGTTGTTGTTGAAATGGCCTGAATAAATCTAAAAATGGGCTTTACTGGTCTTTCCAGAGAGGAGCTTTTCTGATGTTCTCCAGGAAGCTGATATATTGTCACAGGTTTCCTACAAGCACATAGAGCATTACATAGAAAAATTATGGTGGAAAGCCATGATTCTGTAAAGTCAAGCATGCAGAAGTGAAGAAACGCAGGAAAGTTGCTTGTGCAATCTAAACTCAGAGCTTTTGTATGTAATGTTATCATACAGTTGGTACAGACTGAACTGGCAGGGAGCTTGGCTGCCACATGTACCTATCTTGTGTCTCAGTCTCCTTGACAGTTTGAGTATTTTTATGGAGGTGATAGTGAGTTATGCACTTGCACAAAGATAAAATTTAGGTTCATGTTTCAAAATATATCAGTGGTAGAACAGAGATAATCGATAGGGTTTTATCATTTCAGTGGGGCTTCTGCACAATGACCATCATGTGTTCTACCTAACATTATTCTTAGTATTTAAAATGTTGGTTAAAACTGAGAAGTTGTCGTCCTGCAGCAGTTTACCACAATGGAAAAATTCAACCCAAGTGAGAGGAAGGAAAGCTTGTATGTGATAAATTCACCCTCTACCAGGAACTGACAATCAATCCTAAATGTAAAGTCTGCTGCCTCTGATAGTTACTGTGTAAAACTGGTACTTAGCCCTCATCTGGGAGGGAAGAAGAGCTTACCCAGAGCTTAATTCTTCTTCCTTAGAGTGAATTCAGATGTGTAGTAACTTGGGCAGGAGTCATAGAATCACAGGAGCACTGTTTAGAAGAGACCTCTCAGTGTCTGTATTCCGAAGTCTCCTGCTTAAAGCAGACTCTTGCTTATGCTAGATCAGGTTGGTCAGGGCTTTGTGTAGTTGAGATTCAAAGAGTTGAACGAGATTTACAATGCAGGAAGAGAAAGAAATAATGAAAGATTATTTGGTGGAGAGCAGAATGTGCAAGAGGTGTTTTCCTGTTGTGTGGGCATTGCAGCAAGGGAATGCAGAAGAGCTCCTCCTGTGTAGAGCTGTGCAGCGCATCAGTCTTTGCAGGCTCAGAGTAGAGCCTGCTCACATGTGGCTGATCATGCAGCATGGTTTCCTGTTTGGAAATGTGGGTGCTGAAGTTTGAAAGTGAACATGTTGAGTGCAGTGAGGTGAGTCTGGAGGACACGCCAGCTGCTTTCCTCTGTACCATGCCCACTCTAAGGTGGGAGAGTGTGGAACTTGATCCCCACATCTCCTGCTTGTGTTTGGCTAGGATTGATCTGAGTACAGAGAGAAGAGCACGGTGTTTTGGCCAGATGGGACTGAGAGATGACAGAAAGAATCAATGATCTATGTAAATGAGAGAAGCCCACAGAGCTAGTGTAGCTGTGGTTTAGTTTCTTCTCTAGTCTCATTTTATTTTAGCAGCATGAAATTTCTGGGAACCCCCGACGTCTGTGTGCTGACCTATCTATTTTCAGTCTCTGCATCTCTGAATAGTGAGAGTTCTGGCATGCTCTGTACCTACCCCTGGATACAGAGGAGGAGATTTTGTTATTTTTTTATTGCTTGGACTGGGAGTAACTGTGCCCCACAATTTTTCTAGTTCAGAAGCAAAGTTCAATTTTCTCTTAAGTTCTCTGTATCTGATGTCTCTCAAATAATTTAATGTAGCAAATAGAAAACAATTATAAAAGTAATTTTATACCTAATTTTGTGCTTTTATTTATGTTTTTTAAGGTTTGGGTCTTTTTAATTAGGATCACATGATTAAGAGATACTCTTAATCAGTTTTTAATTAGCAGAAGCTTAATGTGTATATAGCTGTTGCAGCAGCTGTAGCTCAGGCCATGCTTTATTCATATGGTTTTCTATAATGCTGCTAGAAGATAAGCAGAGTAATAATTTGCTAGCCAATGATTTACTTGGCTCCTGAATAAAAGCTGTGTTTGTACAAACATTGGAAATCAGTGAAAAAATATGTCAGTTTAAATATTAATTTTGTTAATCAAGCTACCACATCTTCAGTATATTATAGAGGGAGCAATAGATATAGATAGATATATGAAAGTGCACTTTGGATTTAATACAAAATGATTATTTTAGAAAAATAAGCAAATGTTTCATTGTTCCCAAACATCATATACCCAGTGTTTAAGGCATTTAGATACATTAATTGTCTAAAGAATCCATCCCATCAGGTATCTTTCTGCATAAGGTAATAGACATAGGCTGTCAAAACTCCTGGGGGGATTAGTGATAGTTAAAAGATGCTTTGGTAACTTTTACTTTGGACTCATGACCATTTCTGTACAGCCCAAACATTTGAAGTCTGGCTCTTAAGGAGTTTGAGGTCTCTTGTGGCTCTGACTTCATGACTGGCACAGGAAAGTGGGCTGTCTTGGTTTTTCAGATTTTTTCCAAGACTCAGTGAAAAATGTGCTCTCAGCCTGTGAGTTATACAAATAACAGAAGTAATTCAACCAAAACCTGATTCAGTTTCAAGAGAATTTCAATTGAAGGGAATTATTGCAAGTTCCCCAGTCTTGTGTCCCACCTTTCAGCTGACTCTATATTATAGACACTTCTCTAAAGTAGTACCTTGGTATGCTGAGTTTCCCAGACAGATCAAATATGACATATTCCAGTTCCATATGCAGTTTGAAGTATCATCTCCTTAAAATTTGATGCAGTCAAATTGGTATGTACTATTTACATTATTTAATAGATTGGCAATAAGTCCCTGCCTTAGTTTAGGTACTTCTGATGTTAGGCTTTTTTGGTTTCTTCAGAACCAGTAATTTCTAACAGTAACAAAAAAATTAATACCGTGTACTTGCTTTACTTCCCTTGTGTTCCCTCTGGCTGCATGGGCTCCACCAGGGGATGATGATCTGGAGGCACTGAAAGCCAAGAACATCAAGCAGACAGAGCTGGTGGCTGACCTGCGTGAGGCCATTCTCCAGGTGGCACGACACTTCCAGTGTGTGGATCCCAAGAACTGCATAATTGTGAGTGGAAACAGCTGGATCTGCACTGCTGTGTGCTCCAGGCGTGGGTTTTGAGTGTTCAGCACACGACAGGGCTCTTCAAATGCTCTTGAAGTGTGGGCTTGAGAAAGAACATGCCAGGTGTAATGGCTGGAGGGTGAGGCTTGCTTAATCCATCTGTGGTGGAGGGCTGTGCTGAGAGGTTGTCTGCTGTCTAGGAGCTGGAAAAGGTTTGGGAACAGGGGCAGGCAAGCTTTGGCAGACAGTTGGGAGTGACCTGTGGACTTTGATTCCTCTCTGCTCTCCTGTGTGTGCCTGCTAGGATCTGACCCCAGACTACAGCATGGAGAGCCACCAGCGGGACCACGAGAACTACGTGGCCTGTTCCCGCAACCGGCGCCGCCGAGCCAAGGCACTGCTGGATTTTGAGCGCCATGACGACGACGAGCTGGGCTTCCGCAAGAACGACATCATCACGGTGTGTCAGCCTGGGGACAGGCACGCCCAGCTTGTTTGGGATGCTCTGCTACCTCTCCTGCAGGGAAAGGAGGGAGGAGATAAGCTCAGAGCCCAGTTAGGAGCCCACGAGGAGCAGCTGGTGCTCCTAGGGACTGCCTGGGAATGAGGCAGTGTGTTCCTGTGAGTGTTGTCCTGTGGGCTGTTCTTGCTGCCACCACAAAGTCCCTTTCCTGGCTGCTGTACAGCTGTGCAAAAGGTGGGTTTGGTCCAACCCAAGTCCCAGTTTAACACTGCACACTGAATTGGAAAGGCATCCATTTGCATTTAACTGTGAGCATCCCATCTAAAACTGGGGAGAAGAGGATGTTTGCAGTAGCTTTGTGTCCTTGAAGGCCCTGGGCTATGTGAGAAGAGAACATTGGCAAAGCAGTTGAGAACAGAGCAGTTCCTCATTGTGGACACACAGTCAGACAGCTGTACCCCTCCTGCCACTGGCACCTCTTCAACTGGTATTTTCCACTCCCTCTTTTTCAGATCATTTCCCAGAAGGATGAACACTGTTGGGTGGGAGAGCTGAATGGACTGAGAGGTGAGAACAGGATGGGTTGCACTGGGGAGAGTGGGGCCAGATGCAGAGCATCCATTCATCTACAACAGCTGCTCTGGCACCAAAGGCTCTGCCAGGTCCCCAGAGTATCTGCCAGGGGCAAAGGAAACATAAGAGAGCAGTCATGCAGCAGTGACCTGGTCACTTGGGGTGGTTGGGTGCATGTCACCACTGCTGCATGTGGGCAGTGTCCTGCAAGTGGCTTTCTTGTGCAGCTGCCTTAGTTATTGTGATTTTTGAGGCAGCTTGCTTCCTTCTTTGATGGTAGGCCCTGTGAACTCTGATTTTTTTTTCTCAGCTCCCACTGGGCTTTGTGTAAGGATTTCTCAGTATCTTTGTCAGGCTCATCTCTTTGTTCATTCTTTGTAGGTTGGTTTCCTGCAAAATTTGTGGAGATCTTGGATGAGCGGAGTAAAGAGGTACTTAAAAACCTCACAATTACAAAAAAACTTTACATTTAAAAAAAGGGTTATGTCATAACTAAAAAAACACAGCTGAAAAGAGCCATAGATTTCCCTCTTTCAGTCTGTTTGCTTCTCTGGCCTCTGAGTGCTTTGTGATGTGATCAGGCAGCTTATCTTCCTAAACCTGTTTACCCAAATTCCTCACGCTAACCAAATGGAGAGTGAGGGCCCCAGAGGGCTGCCAAGGCACCTGTGTGAGATTTAAGGGGTTTCAAGGACCCTAGAGATGAGGAAGCAGGGCAGTGTTTCTGTCTGCTCCCAGCTGCCTGTGTTCTTTTACTCCTTTGAGGCTGTGCCTATGGATCCTGCACATGCTTTGTGACCATGACAGTAAATTCTTCCCAAGCAGTTGTGCCCAAGGGGACAATCTGTCTTAGTTCCTCTTACAGCTGGCAGTGATAGGATGGCACTTATCTATAGCAGATACTTCAATATTCCTCAGAAGTCCTCAAGATTCAGGTAGTGTGCATGAGATAAACATCAGCAGCTGTTGACCTCAGCAGTTTTCAGGGGAAGTGGAGAAGGCCTGGTTCTCTCTCTTCTCAGCATTTGGGGAGTGAGGAAGAGCTGAAAGGCTGACCCAAGCTCCCCTAGAGAAGCCCCCAGAGAGATGTCAGTATTGACCTATCACTTTCTTCCCCCTCTCTCAGGGCTCCTTAGATGCAGATCACCTCTCTGTGCACAGAAATGTCCCGCGCTGCTCAGGGTTTCTGCTCCTAACTGTGGAAACAGAGAGGATCTCCCTTACGGGGGTGTTAGCGGACTGTCAGCGTGATACCTCAAAGTGGTGTTCCCCCTGACCTGGAAATTCCTATTTGGTTCTGTTTGTCTTGACTTTTAGCAGCTTACAGAGTCCCAGAGACCTCAGTGCAAGTCCCTCTCCACACCTTAGCTCAGTCAGCATCACACCATCACATTCCTGTGTGCTGAATGCTGCCGGCTGGTGCTGGGGTCACTTGTGGGGTCTCCTGGGCACCACCTGAACAAAAAGGTCTCAGGAGATCCCCTGCAGTAGCACAGAACATGGGCCCTTATGCAAGAGCATGACAGATAGAGGCGGGGAGGGTGTTCTGGCAGGCACCTGGGTGTGGAATTGGTCTGTGCAGAGGTGTAGGTGAGTGGATCACCTCCATGCTCTGCCCCCTGAGAGCTGGCTCTCCCTGTTCCTCAGTACTCCATTGCTGGAGATGACTCTGTCACAGAGGGAGTGACAGACTTGGTGCGCGGCACACTCTGTCCAGCCTTGAAGTCCATATTTGAACATGGATTGAAGAAGCCATCTCTGCTGGGGGGTGCCTGCCACCCTTGGCTGTTCATTGAAGAGGTGAGATGTCCCAGTTCCTTTCATGGGGCAGTGTTGCCAGTGGGCTGAGGTGGTGGGTTTAGGGCAGGTGTGCTGAGTGTCCTTCTGCTCCTCCAGGCTGCAAGCCGGGAAGTGGAACGGGACTTTGACTCCGTGTATTCTCGCCTTGTGCTCTGCAAGACTTACAGGTCTGTGCCCTGCTCCTCCATGCTCATCAAACTGATGCTGCTCTGCACCTTGGCAAGGCTCGTAGTCTGCCCCGTGCTCCTGTGGGTGTGGTGTCAGCAGGCTGCTGTGCCTGTGCTGACCTGGGCTGGCAGTGGCTCTTGTCCCCTCCCCTGGGCCCCTGTGTTTGATTCTGGGTCTGTATCTGGCTCTCATGGCTGCGGGGCACCTCTGGGCTCAGCAGTACCATGAGAGCTGTTGGGGTATGAAGCAGGAAAGTGCTGCATCTGCTCAGGGTGACTGGAGCTAGCTGGGTCTCTGCTGTGATCTTTACAGGCTTGATGAAGATGGCAAAGTCCTCACTCCAGAGGAGCTGCTTTACCGGGTGAGTGCTGCCCCAAGCCCAGCCAGAGCCCAGCTCCTACTTTGGGGATGTTTCCTGTGGAGACTGTTGGAGGGAGATGCTCCAGAGTCTCCCAGACCTTCTCTTAGCCCCTCTGGTGGTAGCAGGGGGCACTGGTGGGGGTGGGGAGCATTTAGCTGTGTTGCTGAAGTGGCTGCCCAGCAGTAACACCTTCCCTCCCTGCAGGCGGTTCAGGCTGTGAACATGACACACGATGCTGCACATGCACAGATGGATGTGAAGCTTCGTTCTCTGATCTGTGTTGGACTCAAGTGAGTCATCTGGTCCTGGTACCCTCAGCATTTTGGCTGCAAAGAGCTTGGGAAGGGACAGAGTGGGCTTAAGGACAGCAGTGGTTTCAATCTTAGGCCACAGCATCGTTTTTCCCCCCTCTCACTGCAGCCACTGGGAGAGACTTGTTCCTTGTGTGTTTGGCTGGCCTGATTTCTTGCTGGAAGAGGGAGCTCCTGTTGTATGGGGTGGCTCACACAAGTTTACGGGGTTATCCTGTTCCCACAGGGCTGGGGATGGGGGTCAAGGCTAGGGCTGAAAACAGACTACCCCAAAGGGATGGGGTTTCTTTCCCTGGCTGCAGCTAACAAGCCTATACCCCATTGTTGCAGCGAGCAGGTGCTGCATTTGTGGCTGGAGGTGCTGTGCTCAAGCCTGCAGACTGTGGAGAAGTGGTTCCATCCCTGGTCATTCCTGCGCAGCCCTGGCTGGGTGCAGATCAAATGTGAGCTGAGGTGAGTGTCCCCATGGCATGTCCCCATGCCAGTGTCTGGAATAGATTTCCCCCTCCTCTGCAGGAGGTGGCCCTCACTACAGCTGGGTTTGGGCCCTCTCCAGTGAGTTGCAGCGTGGGCTGCCCAGACATCCCAGCCATAGAGATTTCCTGCTGTGTGCTGAGGCAGCAGGGAATCTCTGGGCAGTTTATTGTGAGGCACTGTGCCTGCCTGATCCAAGAGCAGAGCTTGGCTCCTGGGGTCCTGTTGTGACAAGCAGGCAGCCTTTGCCTGCCTCCTGCTGTACACCTATTCTGATGGAGAGTCTGCCGTTTCAACCCCACTGCTCTCCATGTCCTTTGCCAGGCACTCCAAGTCCAGGCAGGGAACAGGGAATATCCTAGGGAGACAGTTGGACAGTCATTGGCTGAGGAGTCAGTCACCCACTGACTCCCTGGTTAGGTGAGAGGGCTGAAAGCAGCTTTAGTGCCTGAGCTTGCACAAGGCAGTCACTTGGAGCCCAGGGCACACATCCCTGGGGCTCTGGGCATCCATGCTCCTGGCCGTCCTGCACTCTGCAAAGCCAGATGAAGTCCCAGGGAGCTGGAAGGCAAATCCCCTGCTATCACCACTGCTCCAGCCTGGTTGCTGCTGTCCTTCAGTGGAAGCTGGCTTTTGTGTGCACCACCCACTTGCCTCAGGCCCCAGTGGGAGCATCTGTAGCCAGAGGAACCCTGTGTGTGCACACTTCAGGGTGTTCTCAGCCTGCTGCTGAATGGGAGGGGGTTTCTGCCACCTCTGGGCTGCCATGTCCCACAGCATGGGGGCAGTGCCAGTTGGGCACAGCCAAAGGACTGAGTGGGACTGGTTCATGTCTTACATCCTGCTTCTCCCAGCCAGCAAGGGAGCACCCTGTGCCAGCCCCTCTGAGCACTGCTGCTGCAGGACACTTCTCTTGCTCCAGGGAGAGGGAGGGGGCTGCAGAGCTCTGAGGTGCTGCAGGAAGGGGTCTGCTTTCTGGAGAGGAACCTGCCATCTGCTCTTGCCAGCTGCAATTGTGCAGCCCTCAGCCAGGCGTGTCTGCAGTCCCCCGGAGCCCGGGGCTGTCCCTGCCTCCCTGTGCTGCTGCACCAGGCTCTGTAGGGGCTGCACTTGAGTCACATCTTCAGGCTCCTTCTTCCAGCCTGGCCTGGGAGGATGTGAAGCCCAGCAAAGAGGGAATGAGTGACTGCTGCTGTCTTTTCAACACCATCAAACAAGGAATTTCACCCTTGTAAGCTTAGTGGCATGCCAGGACAAGCTGGGGAGACAGTGTATTTGTGTGCCTGGGGCAGCAGTTGTGGGCAAAGGCTGCGAGTGTGGTCTGGGGGGTCCATTTTAACATCACACTCTTCTGGTTTTGTTGTAGAGTCCTCGGCAAATTTGCTTTCAGCCTCTCTCAGGACTGGGAGCTGCCAATAAAGAGGGAGGTGAGTAGGTGGCATCTCTCATTCTTTCACTCAGCCAGGGGCTTCACTTACTGCCTCCCTCTCCCAGCTTTGTGCTTCAGCCCATCATCTGCCTCTTCTGGAGCCAGCTCCAGAGGCTGTGGATGGGGCTGCTTTCCAGCAGCTGCAGCAGGAGCTGTGGGGCAGTGGTGGCAGAGGGGGCTGCCTGCCCTGCCCAGCTGGGGCAGAGGGAAGTGTCAGGCTCCCTTTCCCCGATGCTCTCCAAACCAAAGGCCTCTCCCTGTGCCAGCTGTGCAAAGGTGGGAAGTGTAGGAAGCTGCTCTGGGTGCCAGAGTCTCGGTATGCTCAGGCTCTGCCCGCAGACACAACCTCTCCTTTGCTGTCCTTTTCTGGGCGTGGTGCACTGACCTGGGTCTCTGTGTCATCCTGCAGGAGAAGGAGAAGAAGCCACTGAAGGAAGGGGTGCAGGACATGCTTGTGAAGCACCATCTCTTCAGCTGGGACATAGATGGGTGACCCCCACCCCGCCCCATCCTGGGGACCTTCTCGATGGCCACACTCATCTCTTCCACCCCCTCATGTCTCACACCCTGCCCTTCCCCACCCCACCCACTTGTATCTGTGACAAAATCCCCCCGGGGGCTGCCAAACCTCCTGGGACAGATGGAGCAGTGCCAGGAGGCTGAGCTGCAGACCCGAGGGGGCTGATGGTTGAGGGTGATGCTGCAAAGGGACAAGTGTGTTCTGGCTACTAAAAGCAAGTGCCCCTTTCCAGCTTTCCACATGTCTGCCACCCCTATCTCCTGCTTTCGTCAGCCCTGTCTCCCCATCAGTGCCCAGGGGAGCAGCCTGGCTGGAGCCATTGTGCCCTGCCCCATGGGCCAGCAGTCACGTGTGGGGATGTGAGTGTGTCTGTGGCTGGAGCTGTGGGAGAGAGATGGCCCTTTTGGGATGGCTTTGATCCATGAGAGCTGGTGCCATGTGGAATTGGGCTGGTGAGAGTCTCACTGTCGTACAGCAGCAGGGAGAGCACATCCCCTCCCCATGGCAGCCAAGGGCTCCTCTGTGCTGGGGGACACAGCAGAGTTCCTTTGACTTGGAGCTAAGAAGGGGGAACTGGCATCAGTTTCATTCCACCTCCCTGGCACTGGTGTGGGGTGTTGACAGGAGTTGCCCAAATTTACCAGCCTGTTACCACTGTAACAGCCTTAGGGGATGGTCATTGTCTACTCTGGGAGCAGACAAAAACCACCTCTCCTCCAAACAAGAGTGTTTCATGCTGTCGATTTTTACTGTTAACCAAAAAGCTGTAAATTTCCTCCAGGAACATGTATATTTTGGCAACGTTGTAGCTCAGGACAAGGTTTAGGTTGGAGCTGGCTCAGGGAGACCTACTCGTCCTCCTCGCCCTGCAATGGCATCGGGGACGTGGGTCAGGAGTGGAGAATTGCTGCTTTGTGGTGGTGGCTCTGGATATGGAGTCTGTGACTTTCTACTGAAAGCGCTTGTCTGTGAGCACAAACTACTGATGGGATGACACTAGATTCTTACTTTCCTTTATTTGGTGGGTTTGTAAATAAAAACTGCGTCTTGGGGGAGTGCTGGGCTTTGTGGGTTTTTTTTGACAGGGTCAGGACTTGGTTTAATTTTTCTTTTCTGCCATTTGACAATGGTGATCCCATTTCTGTGCTGGCACTGAGGGAGCTCCTTGCATTGGAGCAGCCCACAAGGTCAGGCAGCAGCCAGGGCAGAGCCAGTTGTGCTGCCAGCAGTGGCAGCCCTGCCTCACCTCTGTGCCACCAGCCCTAAGAGCAGGTCCACAACAGAGCCTCAGAAAAGGCAGAAATACTGAAACTACGGGTTGCAGGGACACTGCAGAGGGAGGACCCTTAGGAAAGGCAGAGGGGCTAGCAGAAAGCAGGGCTGCGTGGTGGGGACAGCAGTGTTGTCTATACAAGAAGCATCTCTGGACAAAGCACAGGTGTAGGCTGAGCTGCAAAGTGGGACAGTAACAGGGCACAGGCCCTTGGGACAACTGTGTTTAGAAGTCCAAGCTTGTGGGAGGGTGGAAGTTGCAGCATATATTCTGATTTGAAAGTGAGTGTCTTCAGTGAAGGTAATTCCTTTGGAATGTGGCTGCAGAAGGGGCAGTGTCACCTCACCACCACCTGCAGTCCAGACCAGCCTGCTGGACTGGGGGAGACAAATAGCTGTCCCTGGTAAAACCTGCCTCTGGTTGCAGGATAGGTAATTTCCATACACTGAGGGAATCTCTCTGCAGCTGAGAAGGATGAGCCACCACCACTGAAGCTGCTTTTTTTCAGGTTTGAGAAAGACACAGAGGGATCACCCACCCTTAGCTGAAAAAGGCAGAATGGCCCCAAGCCCTCCCACCAGCACAGCAGAGAAGTTCTTGAGAACATGGCTGTTTGGAATTTTTTTAATAAAATGGATTTTTTTTCTTCAAATATTTGTAACTGAAAAAATAATTCAATTTAAAGATCCATTCTCTCCCCCATTAACTTGTCACTTTTATCCTTTTCCAGTTGAATACTCGCTCCGGATCCGATGCCCCAGCACCATCCGACTGTGATGGTGCTGATCACCCCTCGCCAGTGGCTGCATAGTGGAAGGGAGAGTGCGTGCTAGTCAAATACACATTACAAACAAGTAGTGGTTACAGCAGAAAGATTCAGGATTACATTCAAGGTAGAGGCAGAACATCAGACTTTGTTTTTCCCAATGGGTGCAAAAAAGTATGTCCAGGGGAATACCTCTTCCAACAAAGAACTATTGAACTATTATTCAAAGAAATAATAGTAAGAAAGCAGAGAGAGAACTGGGCAAGCCTGCTCTGGGCACTGCTTGGGGAAAAGACTTTCTAACATTTTCAGGGCTGAGGCACCACCTTCCCCTCTGCCCACAGGCATGGGGTTAGCACTCACTCTCCTGGCAGAAGCCCCTTGTGCAGAGGGGCTCCCACAGGTCAGCCAGGTTCCTCAGGACATGAGGCTCATGGTTCTGCATCCTCTGGGCTCCTTGAAGCTCTTCAGCCAATGCAAGTATGTTGGGCAAAGTCAGGGTCATTAAATTCCTACAGTTTCACACCTGATGGTGGATGGGTGAAAGTGAAAGGGAGCTCAGCCTTCCACCAGCAATCTCTGGGAAGGGCTACACTGCTATCAGGCATTGGCATCTCTCTGCCAATCACTGGAGTACCTGGCTCAGGGCAAGGAACCAGGGCTGGGTCAGGCCAGGACTGCAGCTGGAGTCTCCCACCTTCCTCTAGGAACTCATTGCACTTTATTGATAATTTCCTTCTTTATTTAATAGCTGTAGAATTGTAATTATTTGTACCAAAGAAATCACACAGCTGGTTTTTGTGGGGGCTACTGCAACTATGGGCTGAAGAACCTGATTTTGCTTGAGTCTGACAAACAGGCAGCCTCACATTTTGCCCCTAGCATCTCAGAGATCCTCCCCCTCCCCCCATACTTTCCTCCTTAGAAACTCCTTGCCTTCTGCTGCCACAGCTGGGCAGAGCTGGTGAAAGCTCCTTAAAGTGATTGCTAAGTACTCACTGCTCCCAGTGAGCACCTGGGCTGTGCCAGGAAAGAATTCAGGGAGGGCTCAGGAGGATAAAGGGGGTGCTCACCAGACTCTTTTATTCTGATTTTTAGGATGTGACACTGTAGTTTGAGGAATAGAAAGCCTGTGGGGAAGGGGAGGGGGGAGTGGTGTCCTCCCCAACCCGGACACTGAGGGAGGCAGATAAGAGGCTCCAACTTGCTTACAGCTCAGGGCCAGAAGAGAGAGGAGGGGAAAGAAAGGAAGCTGCCAGCAGGCTCCCCCTGCTAATGATTAGGAAAGTGGCTCCCCATGCAGTTAACAAGCAAAGGGCTCAGGAAAGCAGGAGTATCTCCCAGCTGCAAACAGGCATGACCCCACCCAGCTGCCAGTTCAGTGGCTGAGGGAGAGCACATTGTGCAGGGTTGGCATTTACCTGCCTCACCATGGAGCAGAGGTACCAGCACCCCTGTGGCACAGCCTCTCCCTGGGAAGAGGACCAGGTACCAAAGTTGCAGGGAAGAAGCATGGGGCTCACAGCTACCCCTCCCCAGCAGGAAGTTCTGCAGCCCAGAGTGGGGGAAAGGTGGGAACAGCATCCTCAAGGAGATACTGAGAAGGATGGCAGTTGATCCTTCCATTGCCTGAGCAGGTCAGTACCTCAGTCTGGGTGACTTCAGAAGCCACAGCTTCCCCCACCTCACTCAGCATGAGCAGCCTGGACCCAGCTCAGGGCCAAAGCAGGGACAGCCTTGTGGCGAGGTGGCCACATCCATGTAAGCCATGTCCCATCTGCTCAGTGTGGCTGTGAGTTACTGACACAGGAATTCTAAAGTAACAGCGTAAGAGTGAGCCACAGGCCTGGTGCTCCACCACAGAGCCCTGCCCAAGGAATTGCACTGTTGTGGCTCTGAGGTCCCGGGGACTTGTACACCCGCTCCTCAGCCTGCAGTTGCCCCAAGGCACCAGCCTGGGGCCCCACAGGGACACAGGGCACCAGCTCAAAGTAAGCAGCCATTTACTTTTGCCTTTTACTCTGTGGGACTGGAGGGAGGGAAGAGCGGAGTTCAGCTGCCCAATACTTGCTTTCAGGCTCCTCCCCAGAAAGGGGCCCTCACAGTCACTGAGCCAGGACCTGCGCTGTGCCACACAACACCACTCTTGCAGTCCCACTTCCCCTTCCTTGCCTATGGGGTCCAACATCCATTCCCAGCTGCTGCTTTCCACTGGGGCACGTGTTACAGTGAGGCACCAACACAGTGAAGGCAGAGACAGATTGCACATGGCCCCCAATGATATGTTACTGATTGCCAGCTGTGCCCCTCACCCGCTCCCCAGGACACACCAGGCTGACTGCCCAGGTCCCTGCCCAGGCTGAGTGCCCTGCTCACCTGGGGATGTCACGAGTGCCGTGGGAGCTGGGGACAATGGGCTGTGCCCAACAGCAGTTTTAATGTATAAGGACCTGATTTTAGCACCTTAAAAACCTGTTTTGCAGCCCAAAATGAGTGAAGGTAGCGGGAAGGCCTCTGCCAAGCTCAGCAATATTTGGGAAACCAGCTTAGACATTAGCAGGTTGGTGGGGAGCCCTGGTTCCCTTTGGCTACATTTAGAGAAGGTGCCTGTTCTGCCCAGCTCCTCCCAGCCCTGTGGCAGATCAGACCCTCCCCTGAGAGATGGCAGGTGGTGCAGAAGGCAGCTGCTCTGGGCCCCAGCCAGCCCTCCTGCCTTTGTGTCCTGCTCCAGAGGTAGAATCCATTTCCACAACCGTTAAGACCAACCGTGTTGGGGCAGCACAACCCCCTTTATCTGCCAATCCCAGGAAGGCGCAGAGTGCTGCTTCTGGAAACAGCTCAGGCCCAGTCATGCTCTGTCCCACGTGAGGGAACAATGTGCTGCCATTGCTCCTGCCCGGAGAAACGGGCTGCTGGCTCTGCTCTCACCCCAGCTGGGCCAGGCTGTGTGGAGTGGGCAGGAGGCCACCAGCTCCACAGCAACTCCTGCCCCTTTCCCCCCCCCCAGCAGCCGATCTCCCTGCCCTGGCCTGGCCCACTGCTGGCTTCACACAGGAAGGACACTGTTAGGGGAGGAGTACAAATACTAGGAGCTCTTTCTTTTTCTTTTTTTTTGATTGACTGGCCTCTTCCCTCTGCATGCCTGTGCCCTCCCACTCCCGTCCCCTTCAGTCTCTGCTCACAGAATTACAAGCAAGAATCCCAGTGCAGCTGCAGATCATGTCCATCAAGAAAGTCTGTGGAAAAGAGGCTGGGAGCCGTGGTGCTCAGGGGAGCCAGGCTCATGACAGAACCCCCTGGCAGCTCCAGCCAGTCCATGCTGTCCAAGTTAGCCTCAGCCAGATCCAGGGCTATGCCCCCAGACGGCTCGTGAGCAAAGTGCAATTCCGAGGTGTCCATGGGTGAAGGCGGGTGGTCCAGGATGGCCGAGCTGCTCAGCATCTCACTGTGGAGGTCATCAATGAGGGACAGGGGCTCTGGCCCGTCGTGGCCCGCCGTCAGCAGCGGGAGGCCGGTGCTGCTCTCCAGGAAGTCCTCCAGGCGGCCCGGCAGCACCGGCTGCCCCAGGGACACCGGCACCGCCAGCTCCGAGGAGTGCTGGCTGCTGGGCACTGGGGAACACGCCGGGGCCACGGGCGCCTCTTTCCCAGCTGGGGATGACTGATCCTTGAAGTCAGCAGAAATCTCTGGAGAGGGAACAAACAGGCCAGGTAAGGAAAAGTCTGGCGGAACACCAGAAGGATCCCTCCCACCCACCAGGGCCACAGACACCCCCCAGACTAAGCCATCACTGACCACCAGCTGGGATGAGGAAACATCCCTGTGCCCGTGCTTTCCTCACTATGGGGAGTTTTCAGCCCACCTCCCCAAAATCCCATCTCTGTCCAGTATGTCAGAAGCGATGTGCCTGACTCTGATGCAGCAGAGCTATCAAGAATCACAGAATCATATTAAGGCCTGAGTGACATCTCCCTCAGTGCCTTAATGACTGCTGCCAGTGCTAAAGGCACTGGAAGGGACACTGGAGAAGAGAGTGAGGCCATAACAGACTCTCCCCTCAGTGCTCTGCAATCCCCAAAGTCAGACCCAGGGACGGTGGGAAATGCTGGCTTTGTCTCCTTACCTCCACTTTCGATGAGGATATCAAACAGGTCGTCCATCTGCTGGCTGGAACAGCCGTTCTCCTGGGGAAAGCAAGTGCAGGATTAGCTTCCTATTCAGCAGGGGAACTTCCACCTCCAGCAACACCCTTGGCTGGCTCTCCTCCCTTGCCCCAGGAATGGGGCTGTTTTCTAGCAAGAGTGAGCACACCATGACATGGCACCAGAGTCCTCTGTAACCCAGGCTGTAACTGGCTCAGAAAGTATGGTCAGCAATGGCAGTGAATGGCTTGGGATTTTTTACCTGGGTTCAGCCCAAACCCTCCAGAGGAAGTTCAATGAGAAAGGTGCAGTTGTGTCTCCATTCCCTATCACTGGCCCACATCAAGAAACTAAGTAAATTCACAATGGCAACTTTTCCTCTGCTCTCCAAGGAAACCAGGGAGAACAACAACTCTCACCTGGGCCTTTGGCTGTTGCTTCATGGCCTCTTCATAGCCTGGTGGTGGCTCTTTCATTGGGACCGAGGGAGCCGGAAGAGGAGGTGGAGGAGTTCCAAAAAGCGGCGTGTGCTGTTGCTGCTCCAGGTCCATCTGGGAGGGGGAAGGGGCAGCAGGAGAGCCAGGCTGTGATGAGGACTGTTTAGAATGAAGGCAGAAGAGGGAATGAATGCAAATCAGGGAAAAGTCTACATCAACTCCTGTCTCACAGCTGCTTTGAGAGATCATCACCTCTCCCTCGGAGCACGGCACAGCAGTCTGCACTGCTCTGCCCACAGCAGCCTGCCTCCTTCCCTGGACTCTGTGCACTATGCCCTGACTGCAGGGGAAGAAGAC